AAATTCGATAAAGTTTTTTTCTATTGTGACGGTTGATGTATTACAAAATCCTAAGATAACACATTTGTTCAACTCTACTGCAGTCGAGCAAAAAAAAAAAATAATATTTTACATCTTTCACCCTACGAATCACTTCATCGGTAACTGATTTTGGCATCAATGTGATCAATTCATTTTGAATATCGCGACTTAGATAATGTTGTGCAAGTTCTTTGTAACTAATGCGTTTCCTGTGTTCCCATAACGTAGGATCAAATTCGGATATCAATTTAAACAAGTCTATTAAATTACCAGAATTCCTAGTGTCGTCGTCTGTCTTGAGAGATTCTCTGTGACCTCTTAATGCCAGATTATGAGAGGATAAGAAATTAATGATATCAATTAATCTCTCAAACAAATTGTGCTAATGTTTTTGAGATTCACGAATTAGCCTTTCGTTTTCTTGGTCTCTTATGTCANGAGCATGGGCGTAGCCAGAATTTTGTTGTGGGAGCCTAGTAGACGCCAATCTGACACAAAATTGAATTATTTCAAATTATTGTTCATTAAAATGAAAATTCCATGATAATCGACGATAACTTAGCAAACATAAAATATGAAACTTCCTTTAATCATAACATTGGGCACAGGGAGTCGTTGACCTTTTTTTTTTAATAATTAAAATTTTTCGCTTTTCAGTTTTTCTTTCTCTTTGCAAATTGGCCCAACACTTTTTCGGCTGTGATTTTCTGGGGGCACCAGGTTTACTTGGAGACCGTGCCCACCCAGGCCCCCTCTAGGCCTCCAGGCCCCCTCTAGGCCTCTAGGCCGTGCCCACCATGGCCTAGAGCTTAAGCCCTATTAGTTTTTTTGTAGATTTACCCCTGCCTTTGAAGTAGNATGTTTTTGAGATTCACGAATTAGCCTTTCGTTTTCTTGGTCTCTTATGTCAATATATTTATCGTTTTTTGACGAGTAAAATTTTTCCGTTACGTTAAGAGCCTGTACACACTAGGCGTTTTTCAACGCGCGTTTTAAAGAACCAAGAGTTCTATGTAGGCGTACACACTCAAACGCCAAGTGCGCGTTAAACGCGCGTTTATAGATTTTTGTTAAAACGCGCGTTTTGCGGGCACTTTACGGGCGCTTTGAGATATATGTGCTGCCTTATAGCGACGATGAAGGAGGCACACACAATCAATTACTTTCACGTCCATTTTCAAACTGAGCCAGTGCTAACGCCGAACTAACGCTCGTCGAACGCCGAGCTAACGCGCGTTGAAAAACGCCTAGTGTGTACAGGCTCTAACAGCTTTTTTAAGTAATGCATAAACCTTCGAGGCGCGAGGCCGTAGGCAGTGGCCCACGTCGCCCACGCCTTACGCCGCCTCTGTGTAAACAACGGACTCATTTCCCACATTAATGACATAAAAGCACGGGCAACCGAAAGCTCAACACAATTCGTCTCAGGAAGTTATGTCTGAATTAGTATCCATCTTGGTCTCTGGAATAACAGTAGAAGGCATCCAGGACTTGCACTACTTTCATAGAAAGATCGATCGTCACATACAGCTGTCCAAGTCCATTGAGAGGTATTTTGCTAGCTCTAATTGAAAACTCTCTCTCTGCAAGACAGAATTTAGACATGCGATATAGCGTAGCCTCTAGTCGCCAGTCTTGGTGAATATTATACTGTATTTTGTAATCGCTATTTAACGGCATGTAACCTTTGAACTTGTATCACCCGCCTGTATATTAGCTTTCGACATTTAATAAATTCTTTGTTTATTGTTAATTAAATCTGTCAACCTGTCTATATATTTTCGGAAAGACACCTGTCGAATATTTAAATATTTAAACTAGTTGGCACCATCGAAAAAAACCAATGAAGTCATAAGGGCCTAATTTGCCACAAGGCACTTGCCCGGGGCCCGTAATTAATTGGGGCCCATAATAGGTTCTGAACGTGCCATTGTTTTATTAGTATTGCGAATTATTAGCGCCATATTTAAGGGTTGATAATTAAGAATGACATTACCTACTTCTCCGACAACTAACAACGTCACTGAGAATTAGATAATGTTCGTATATGCGCATTCGATTATTATTTGTAGTAATACAAAATTTGCAAAGGGGCCCGTAAATATTATTTTGCCTAGGGCCCGCGAAGGTCTAGATTAGGCCCTGGAAGTCATTTTAATAAAACCTAACAGAGATTAAAATGTCTTCACTTTTTCATCAAGTCCAATCACCAGAAACAACTATTTTCCACTGCAGAAAAGACCTTTCTTTAGAGGCTACGCCTCTCCAAAAAAAAAAAAAACAAAAATCTGTGCCCAGGGGAAATCCCGACTTTTTTAAAAAAAAAAAAAAAAAAAAAAAAAAATGTAACAGTCTAAAAGTTCACAGGTGACAATCCCAAGTAAAAATATAAAATTTCTTTTGTAAAATTATTAAATAGTAAATTCTTCAGCCTTTTTTACAATTAAGTCATATTTTGTGCTGGCAGGTAACCTTATATTACTGTTTATAATTTTACTATTCGAATTTTATCATAGGGCTGGTCAGATAGAAAAAAGGGACTGTTGCAAAAGGGGGTTGAAGTAATTCCATCAAAAGTAGTCGTTGACCTTTTTCCTGAAGAGAGAATGGTCAACCACTACTAATTAATACTGATCTACTATTAGTATTTGAAAAGTGATCCGTGTTAGACAGGTTGTGATGTCTCCAGAAACTAATCTAATAAAATACGGATTACGAAAACTGTTATTATAATAATCATTATCAGGAAACGACATCAAATAAGATAAATTCGTACTTACGGAAGTTTTCTTTATTATTAACTGTATAGAATATTTTCTTGCGATTTACATGTAGCATAAGAAGTTTAAAAAAATGTAATTGCTGATTTACATTCCAATCAAACATTCCATTTGCTCAATTACAGGTAGCGATATCTATTGGCGCTATCTGTAAATCAGCAAATCGAATGTTAACATTTTCTTAAAATTTTTGCGGATAGACGACGCTACGTGTAAATCAGCAAATTTAGAAGTTGATTTATTTATAGAAATCTAATATTATAGGATATGATGTATGCCGTTATCTAAGTTGAGGACGTATAAACATAACTGCCGAGTTTCGTAACAATTGGTTGAACGGCCTAGTAGTGTATAGCAAACAAACAAACTGACAAACAAACACTTTCATTTATATATATATAAATGAAAGTGTTTGTTTGTCAGTTTGTTTGTTTGCTATACACTACTAGGCCGTTCAACCAATTGTTACGAAACTCGGCAGTTATGTTTATACGTCCTCAACTTAGATAACGGCATACATCATATCCTATAATATTAGATTTCTATAAATAAATCAACTTCTAAATTTGCTGATTTACACGTAGCGTCGTCTATCCGCAAAAATTTTAAGAAAATGTTAACATTCGATTTGCTGATTTACAGATAGCGCCAATAGATATCGCTACCTGTAATTGAGCAAATGGAATGTTTGATTGGAATGTAAATCAGCAATTACATTTTTTTAAACTTCTTATGCTACATGTAAATCGCAAGAAAATATTCTATACAGTTAATAATAAAGAAAACTTCCGTAAGTACGAATTTATCTTATTTGATGTCGTTTCCTGATAATGATTATTATAATAACAGTTTTCGTAATCCGTATTTTATTAGATTAGTTTCTGGAGACATCACAACCTGTCTAACACGGATCACTTTTCAAATACTAATAGTAGATCAGTATTAATTAGTAGTGGTTGACCATTCTCTCTTCAGGAAAAAGGTCAACGACTACTTTTGATGGAATTACTTCAACCCCCTTTTGCAACAGTCCCTTTTTTCTATCTGACCAGCCCTATGATAAAATTCGAATAGTAAAATTATAAACAGTAATATAAGGTTACCTGCCAGCACAAAATATGACTTAATTGTAAAAAAGGCTGAAGAATTTACTATTTAATAATTTTACAAAAGAAATTTTATATTTTTACTTGGGATTGTCACCTGTGAACTTTTAGACTGTTACATTTTTTTTTTTTTTTGGAGAGGCGTAGCCTCTAAAGAAAGGTCTTTTCTGCAGTGGAAAATAGTTGTTTCTGGTGATTGGACTTGATGAAAAAGTGAAGACATTTTAATCTCTGTTAGGTTTTATTAAAATGACTTCCNAAAAATTTTATAGTTTTGATTACTAAAATATGTAAAAAATTTACGTTTGAGGGTAGGGAGTTTTATAAAAAGTGTAAATATTAATACCGAATAAAAGCCTCACTAATTTTTCCATATCCACAAATTCTTTTTTTACATTTTGGAATCAAGGTTTCAACACGTGCAGATTTACAAACAACTTGGATGGTCAAAATTGGCACAATCCAACACTTTCCCTTGTGTATACATAACAGTCGGAAAAGTAAAAGCAATATTATAGAAATGTATTTTATTGGAAAGATGTTGGGAAAAACACTGACAGTTAAAAAGAGGTACGTTTTGTGAAAAATTTTGTTGCGATAAAATTTCTTGTCATTGCCGAAAGACTGAAGAAAACTTACGACTTAGTCCATTATAAAAATAGCCTTTTTGTAAATCAAAATATTGTCATATACAGAATATAGAGATGTGTGTTTATAACTGACGATGCCATGCTGTACATATTTGTTATACGAATACAGATTAATTATTTAATTGTATAATGAACACCAGTGGCCTAGTGGATAAAACACTAAACACTGGTGGCAAATAATGGATTTCGGCTTCCACAATGTGCTAGTGACCTGAGGCTTTTCGAGTTTTCTTCACGTGCCGAACAAATACATAGTTTTTCATAAAACACAGATGTCCCAAATGTTATGTTGCCATATTCTAGAAGTATGGTATAAAGAATACTTTAAAATAATCACTGTAAAGATAATTTAAATTAATTTACACGATATAACATGAAGAATAGTAATCTTCAAAAGTTTATAATTACAACTTAATAAGTAGTAAATTTGATTACTTTTACAGGTCAGCAATTCGTTATATTTCGCGGAAAAACAGGTAAAACTTTTGCTTTGGACGCTTATTGCCCTCAATTGGGCACTCATTTAGGAATCGATGACAAGATCAACGAGGATTGCATCGAATGTCCTTTCCATGGATGGCGATTCTCTGGATGGAATGGTCATTGTGTAAAAATACCTCATGCTGAGAAAGGTAATTACTGTAAAAAATTATATACTTACTACAAAAATGTATTTCATATATATTTAAATTTAGTTGCAAAAGAGGCGAACATAAAATGTTGGGAAACAATCGAGCAAAACGGATTTATTTACATCTGGCATCACGCAGAAGACCAACCTCCACTCTGGAAACCTGCAGTTATACCAGAAATACAAGACGGATTATGGCATTATAAAGGACGTACCGAACACATTGTTAATTGCCACATTCAGGTATTTACACATAAAATTGTAGCAAGTAGAATGGGGTAAACGTTTGCGGTGGGTGGGAATATAATTAGTTGTATAAATGTCAGGTTGGCATTACTGAGTTAATTTACAGATTCTCTTGCTGAATTATTGAACACTTACTAATAACCGACTTGGCCTGAAGATTTGTTAAATAATTTTCACATACTTTGCAATATAATATTTTGATTGTTTACATACTAAGTGAATCCTAAGTGATTATGTACAAACTTAAGTTAATCATTCCTTAGATATTTTCATCAACTTGTTTTTCTTGTGCAGTATGGCAGACTAAACATTTAGAAATTTTCTCAGTGTAGATGACAGTATCTGTTTTTGTGGAAGACTATTCGTTTCCTCGGCGAAATAATTAATTTTTCTTCTGCTTTTAGAATTATTGCAGAGATATTTGCACATATTGCGAAGGAGACCAGCCTTAGCTGCGTATAACGTGATAGCTAAGTGTGCTAATTTTTCAAAATTACGTGAAAGTATTTTTGGTGTTTCTACTATTTCTTTTGAAAATTTTTTGTATCTTATTGTTGGTCATTCGGATAGAGTGGCACTTAATTTTGTTTTCCTTTCCATTTCATTATTTGGTTCTACGCATAGGTGGCTTTATTTTTTCTTTAAATGTATGTTCCAGCTCAAGGAATTTGGGAGGTAGCCAAGCAGTCTTTGTCCCTGAACACTGGAAGTTCGGTCGTGGGTTCGCACCTCGCCGGACAGGGTGGCCACGTGGAGTTTTCTGGATTTTTTCCGTGTCTGTAACGCCTGAACAGGAACCAGTTTCCCTTAAAAGACCATCCGAAAAGCATTCTTTCCCTGCGCGCGTGGCTATTCCATCTATAAGACTGGCTATCAGACGCCTAGCATTCATAACCTCGCTCTCTCGGAGTATAGAGCCTATATGTGCTGAACACTCTTCTTTCCTGCATTCGTTGATTGGTTGATATAAAGTAATTTGGGAGATTATCCATTGCCTTAACGTGATAATTAATTTCGCTTCTGCTTTTAGGTAAACTCTTCTATTTATTATGTCTGAAGGAGTAAAGAGGAAGACGTTTTCTAACTGTTCTGGAGAGAACACCAAGTGGGCCTAGTGGATGAGGCACTCGTTGATTTTCAGGCAAGATTAATCCATATTGATTCAAGGGTGGTTTCGGTTGGATCGATGGAGGAGAGTTTTTCCCCTATTAATAATATCTGCAAGAAATTGTCGGATATAAAACGAGATATAAATTATATTAATAACTAGCTATTACCCACGACTTCGCGCGCGGCGGTTTTGCAAGCAAACCCCATTTATATTCAGTATTTCAACAACCATAGTAATTGTTATATAACACCTACCGCTGGGGCCAGATGGCCGAACGGTCAAGGTGGCAGCCCAACTATCAGATCTGAATTACCCCTGGATTAATTAATAATTTAATTAAAAAGTTAAATTTTTAACTTTGAATATTCTTTGATTTTGGTGGAAAAATTATGATTTCTAAACGAGGGAAACTGATAAAAGTCATTTCCTTCAACGGAAGTTGAAACATTCTTTTGTTTTCTGTTATCTGCTAAAATCTTAGTCACCCTGGGAATTGTTAACCCCTCGATAAATCCCTTTTTCCTCTGTTCACGTGAGAGAATTCGAGAAGCTGATTGGAGAAAAGTCATGAGAAATAGAAAGAGTTTTGCATGATTCGGAGAGTACGCCACGAAATTCCCTAGAAGGAAGGCGTATTCCATATTTATCTCCTGAAGGCCAACGCCCATATTAGACTCCCATGTTTCGTTAAGTCAGTAGATAAGGAAAAAAATATTTAAATATGTGCCATGAAAGATCTGCCTAGTAAGAATTGAAGTCAATCATTAAAGAACATAAGAAGAGAAATAGACATAGATGTAGTATGATTACAGTAGAAATTGTGAGCTCTCTCTCTCTCTCTCTCTCCAAACGTTCATTTTAATTATTCCATTTTTGTATAATTTTGTTATTTTGTTTCATTAAATCTTTGTTTTTATTTGTAAAAAGTCTCAGTATCTGAATCAAAACGACACGTCCATTTTATCATCTCTACACATGTGTTAATCCGCGTATCCTAAAATTGATTAACTGGTGTCAAAGAATCCTGACGTTGGATAGAGACTTTGCTGTTTATATCCTATCTAATTTTAACAGCCCTCCAAGAAAAAGTTTAGAGATCTAATATTGCGATTTTGTGCCGATTAAGTGGTACACTTCCAACAGATTGTACCTCCGGCTTATCTCACGCAACGCTCTGGAAGACCCGGGATCGAATCCGGACAGGTCAAGGAATACACAGGAAATTTTCGGGGAGTGGTCAGTTCGGATATGTCGGGCCCCGTCCCTCACCTCCCGGTCGCCTCATTGTTGGCCTGGTCGAACCCATAATGGGCCTGTTATAAGAGGCCCTCTTAGTGCTCACAGGGCGGAAAGAGCATTAAAAAAACACCTACCGCTGAGAATAATGAGACTTGCTGAGAATCAAACTGTTTTCAATTTGATCAATTTTCTGGAACGTTTAAAATCGTTCTATAATCGAATCAATATGCAATAACGAATTCGAATTTAAAACGGTTCGAAAATTTGTTTAAAAAATCGAAATATATAAAAATATTTATAACAATGTCTGAAATGTTCAATTTAATACACCAAAGTACTCAATGAAAACTAAACGTTGTTGAAAACAAAAAATCGCATCTAAAACAATACAGTAGAAGCCGTTCTTCCTGTTAAGCCTTAATGCTCTCCCTCTCCCCCCGCGGGAGAATTTCGAAAAATCTCTTCTTAGTGTGCGTTTTCATGACGTACCCTAACTGTGTACCAAATTTCACCTCTTTAGGTTCAGTGGTTTGCTCTTGGCGATGATGAATCAGTGATTCAGTCAGTCAAAACAAGTAATTTTATATATTTAGATTGACTAACCCAATTTTTCCTTGACGCATCAACAAAAGCTTTGGTACAATAATCTTAATAATAAAGCTGGTATTCCTTCATTATCTCTTATCCGGCTTAGAAATCTACTATAACTTCTAACAAAATAAAGACCTAATTTAAATCTATTTAGTTCAAGACGAAGAGCAGAACCGGGAATATTATATTCAAGCGAAAAGACTTTACATATAAATTTATTCTGTATTATCTCTAAATTATGAAAGTTAGATATACTCCAGATTGGTGAGGCATATCCAAAGGTGTTTATAATTATGGAATTAAACAGCTTGAACTGGACTGTAATACTCATTAATTTCATTTTGGCAAATGATTTTACGGTATTATTAATCAAAGCAGTAAATTTAATCTTAACTTCCCTGTATTGCTTTTCAAACGATAAAGAAGGAATTAAAACTATATCCAGAAAGTTAATTTCTGAAACTATTGACAACTTTTCGTTTTTGAGATAAAAGGTTATGTATTTTTTGAGTCTAATTCCATTTTGAAATACCATAATATAAGATATTTTAGGATTAGATTTTAATTTTAATTGTTTACAATATTCATCCAAGGCATATATTTTCCATCAAAAAGCAGCTGCTGACGGGGCTAAAATAACTCTGTCGTCTGCATACGATATTGAATGTATTGTTTGTTTATCAAATGTAAAGCTATCATCTGCATTAGTAAAACAAGCATTTAAATCAAACGTATAAAAATTAAGTAGATATTGAGACCACGGGTCACCCTGTAATAATCCATGACTAAGTTCCAAAGCCGGCCATAGTGTATTGTTCTGTTTAATCACAACTTCATATTGTCCAAATAGCAAGCCCACTGCTCTAATTAATTTCCTATCTGCCCGACACTATCATTTTTCTTTGTAAGATTGAGATTAGTACTGAATGGTATGCCTTTTCTAAATTCAAAAACATAGTAGATACCTTCTGTCTTTTTTTCTGAAATTGAAGTTGTATTACTGTATTGCTATTAATACAAAGAGTGCCATGTGGGTACTCCATCTCTATTAAAAGCGTATTGAGTGAAATTTTTGTAATTGTTTGTTTCTATCCATTCATTAAATTTTGTTAATAAAATTGATTTATATAATTTCCGAAATCTTGACAGCAATGCAATAGGTTTAGATGGATTGGTTAGATGGTTATTTTTCCTCACCTCTTTTAAAAATCACACACAGCACAACTTTATTCCAATCTTTGGGCAGCTTGCCTGCATTATATAAATAACTAGCTTAACCGTCGCGCATTGCTGCGATCTCAGAAGAAACGAAATTCAAGCAAACTCGTTATGATAAAATAAAATATACATTTTATCATTTTTATCGAAACTTATTGTTATTATTCATTTTCATCGGGAAAACATTTCAAAGTGTCGTTTCAATTCTATTTATTTATTGGAGTGTTTGTGGATACACGATATTTTTTGTTTTTCCGTCTGATGCGTACACGAATAAATCAGAAGTTTGTCCGACGCATGAGCTGGCCACATACAGTTGTCCAAGCGAGAAGCACGGATTCTCCAAATTTTGCCCACACACTCGCAGCGATTGTCTGAAGCACGATATTCCCCATTTATATATATGTTACAGTCAAAACCCGTTTTTAGTTAGAACCCGTTTTAACTAGTTGAAACTAGTTTATACTGAATGTCTTTGTTAAAACCCGTTTTGTCTAGTTAAAACTAGTTAGTTTTAACTCAAATTCATTTTTGACTAGCAGTAAATTCTAATTTTAACTAGACAAAACGGGTTTTAACAAAGACATCCAGTATAAACTAGTGTTAACTAGTTAAAACGCATCCTAACTAAAAACTGGTTTGACTGCAACGCATAGAGTGATTCGGGGTAAGATGGTAAGCGGGGGAAGATGCCTAATTTTTGATATTTTCAAACGGTGACGTCACATATTGTCATGTATTTGTATGATGAATCGTTGGGCCAATATTGAGTGCGGAAAGCTGTAGTTGGCTACCGTTACTTCATTTTCTACATCCGAGAAGAATAAAAGCTAGATAA